AAAAAAGACAGGTTAATAATGTTTTCATATTTTATATGTAATTGTGATCTTTTAAGATCGAAAAAAAACTTTTGATTTAGTATTATTAACATATTCGATTATTATCTTAGGCATTTTATCTATTTTTTAATTCTGCAAAAAACATTTTTGTTCTTATTTTATTTTTGCATAAGTATAAATCATTTATTTAGATTTATTTTTATTACAAAAGCATGATAAAAATAAATGTAGACTCGTAATTATAAAAACTACACAGTGAAAAAAGAAAGCAACAGATAGAAAATATTACTTGTAAAAAGAGTACCCAAAAACCGAGAAAGGAAAAAAGGTCACTAACAATAATGTTGATATGAAAATGTACTAAACAATCATAAAATGAGAAACCTTTCAATATTTTCTGTTTACTTCTTTAGTTTTTCAAGAATCAGAGAATAATTTTAAACTTTACTATTCAAGTCTTAATTGAATTCGAATTATATAATTAATTACCGATTATCAAAGTTTTTATAAATGCTGTAAAACAATTCAATTTTATTAAAATTTATTTTATTTCTAATATATTCAAATACATTTTAAGCTTAAACAAAATTTACGTTTATCATTAAAACTTATAATGTACAAATATCTTTCAATTCGAACAACTTATCAACCATTCATTGTCATAGTTTCATTGGTATGAGACAACAAAATATATCATTATGTGTCTATATTATTTTTGCTAGTTGATAAATTAGAAAATGATTTGAACATAAAAGACTTTTTTTCTTCACTAGTTAATTACATTTAACACAACAAGCAATATTTAAAAAATTCTTTATTCATATTTTATAAATGAGATTCTTTCGAAAATATAAATAAAGCCTAAACTTACTTGTTTTTTGTTTCGTTTAAAACAGAAATTTATATTAATAAAGTTAAAAAAACATCCACCGAATCATTCATATTTATATACAAGTATGACAGCAGTTAAAATGTCATTATTCTTTCATTATGTGTTTTTTGTTGCCCTGGATCGAAACGCGTCTGAAGTAATGGGGGTATTTGATAAATAACCAAATCAGCACACATCACGTAAACAAGAAAAAAAATTAACTGTGCGTATCTGTTAGCTTTTCAAAGGTATACACAAGGAAAAGAACAAACTATATTTAAAAATCGAGTAAAAAATATAATTAGTTAGAAATTAGGTGATCAGATAACTAAAAATACTGAAGAGGAAACATGTCTAACTGTCAAATTTCTGTTCACTTGAAATTATTGCTATCCCATGTAGTGAAAATCGGATACAAACCGGCGATTTTACCGGTCCGGTTACCGCCTCCTTGATATGAGATTCCATAGGACTCGATGAATAGTTAAAAAATCTGTTCTAGTTCAGTTTTCTGGTCTTCCCTTATCCAGTAATGGAGGTACCTCTTTTTGGTATAGATAGCTTGAAAAAATTTTCTTTCTCATATGAACAGATAGGGTGTCTTTCGCTCTATTTTTCTATCCTATTTGATCACTATTCAACCAATATTATAATAATAATATTTCGATAAGAACTGTTTTTGTTGAAAATTGGCTGGTAGCATTAAGATCGTAATGAATGTGGCATAAAAAATGGAGTACTTTTGCATTTCATTTTATCATCACTTAATATGTTGTATTAAAAAACAAAATATACCACAAGATGCAGCGTGAAAAGCTCTACAATTTGCGCAGAACAATTATGAAAAGATGAGATACAGAAAACCGAATTCATCTTTTACAAAAAAAACACTCTCGTTTTCGCAACGTTGAAATTTGGTCGCTCAGAGTTTTGTCCATTTTGAAAACAAAAAGAAGCAACTATAAAATAAGCGATTCTTTATAAATTATAGAGCCTTTCATGTTGTATCTTTGGTATATTTTGTTTTTTAATACAACATATTAAGTGATGATAAAATGAAATGCAAAAGTGCCCCATTTTTTATGTCGCCTTCATTACGATCCTAATGTTACCAGTGAATTTTCAACAAAAACAGTTCTTATCGAAATTTTATTATTACGATATTAGTTGAATAGTGATATATCTCAATAGCATAGAAAAATAGAGCGAAAGACGTTCTATCTGTTCATATGAGAAAGAAATTTTTTTCAAGCTTTCTATAAGAAAAAGAGGTACTTCCGACAATACTTTTGGATAACCCTAAGTAATTTCAAGGAAAAAGCGATTTTACAATTGGAAATGTTCTTTTGTAAATTCCAAAAAGATTACTTTCCAGAAATACACTCTTAGTGTTCAATAGGATTCTACAACTACTCAAAATGTTTTTTTTGCATATACAAAAAACATGATCCACTCCACATGTTTAAGAAAATGAATCAGAGCCTGTATATTTTTTATATAGAAAATCATGTCATATATTGATCATCATACTTTAATACATAATTTGAAACATAAAGATGATCTTATCTCATCGATTAAGAATATTTCATTGAATATTTTCTATGTGAACTAATGAAAAATTTTCTCGGTTTTTGATGACTTTTATTTTTATAAGAAGTGATTCATGTGCTTCAAGGCATTGTATTTTTACAGTAAGATGTTTTTAATCTTTTTCTCGGTTTACTCAACAGAAAATATCTTATTTTTTGTTTGTCGATTACTATTGCTACAGTAAAGCATAAATAAAAATAATCATTTAAGCGCAATCATGCATTACAATTTTCTCTTTTTTTTGTATCCTTGGGTGTCGTTAAAAAAATATGATTACACATTATGTCTAATAGTTGACAATATTTTGTACATATGACTCGCAGTGTATAATGAATACGACATTAACGTGGCTTTTTCTAATTGTCGTTGGTTTAGTTGGTTTATTCCTTTCTGGAATATTGGATGCTTGTCTTGATTTCATATTAAGTTTTTTGTATACTCGGCATCAAAGACTTCGTCGTTGTCAACGTCCAGGACGTATTTTTCTTGTTCGACATGGCGAATCTCAAGCAAATATTGATCTCAGTAAACAAGATTTTTTTTAATTTTTAAAATTAATTTCATTATTTTTTGTTTCAATAGGTTTATATGGTCGTATGGCAAATCATGAAATTGAATTAACTGAAAAAGGTTGTGAAGAAGCTCTTGAAGCTGGTAAAAAATTACATTCATTAATTGGTAAAGAATCAGTTTATGTTTATATGAGTCCATATAAACGTTCAAAACAAACTTGGTCATTTATACGAAAATCATTTTCACCATTACAAATTATAGCTCAGCATGAAGATCCACGTTTACGTGAACAAGAATTTGGTAATTTAACTGATTTAACAACAGTACCACAAGCTGTCCAAGAACGTGATCGTTTAGGACATTTTTTTTATCGTTTTTCATGTGGTGAAAGTGGTGCTGATGTATATGATCGTGCATCATTATTTCTTGATACATTATTTCGTGAAATGGATAATGGACATCATGATCCAACACAAAATATACTAATTGTATCACATGAACTGTTTATACGTTTATTTTTAATGCGTTATTTTCATTGGACTGTTGATGAATTTAAAACTTTAAGAACATTTAATAATTGTGAAATATGTGAATTAATAAAAAAAGATGGTGTCTATACACTTGATGGACGCACAAGACCACCAACAAACTCATCATAAAAAGAAAATTTTTATTTATTTTGTTTCCTTATATATTAATAAAATTTGAAAAGAAAATCAAGGAAATTTCTATCTGTTTCTAGCAATGAAAGAATTAGATTTTCAATAATAGTTATACTGTGAGTCATTTGAAAGCATTAATAATCTAGGAAAACAAGTAGCAGCTGTGCTTTTGACAATGTCAAAGTTTACATGAAAGATAGGAAAGAATAATGTATTCTTTGACGAGAAAGACAGAAAGAAAATACGATTATGTTAAGACAAATCGTTATCGTTGACCAAAAATTATTTGAAAAGTGATACTTTCGACTGAATAGGCCATGCATCAAAACTTGATAGGTTTCAAGTTCTTGACATTTTCTTTTTCCTGAAGATTAAGAAGTAGACATAGACGATTTTAGATGAGGATCAGAATCGCAGACAATAATTTCAACTGACGAAAAAATAATGAACTAGAAATATTTTCATGGACGATTATATACTTCTATAAACAATCATTTTGATAAGCAATGATCTTATTCTAATGATCGTTTCAAAATAGTACAAGATATAGACTTGTGATTTTCACCCTTTGAAAGAATGTGTTTATAGGTGCTTTTGGGTCCGTACCTTTTCTTTGCATATTTTCACAATAATATCGACTCAAATTATAGCAAAATTTAACTCAAATCACCCTTTTTTCGCTATAAAGTTACCATATTTTTCTGTAAATCTACTTCGAATAAGAGGTTGAGGAATAATGAAATATGGGATCATTTTAGAATGACTCCTTTTAGATCGTATGTCATAAAATATCTATTCATTGATAAACCATGAGTAAATAATTAATGATAAAAACGATCGAAATGCATGTTGACCATGAAACCTTTTCAGATATTCTCTTCTGATGTCAATTATTTTTTTTTGTCCAGAGATGCTACATAATTTTCTAATAAAAGCTCTAAACAGTTTGGATTTCTATTGATACGTGACTAAGGTATCGAGTTTTTAATATTTCTATTTTCCAGAGGTTTCAAGTTTTCGGAAAACTCCTTTTTTCGAATTTCGATTTGAAACTTTATCGGTTTTTCAGCGGATCTTTGGAAAACCATGCTGGATTTCTGAAAAGTAGGTTCAGAGGTTCTAAAATGCTAGAAGAACATAAAATGGCAAATGAATAAACAATAAAAATGTTATTTTGACTCAGTTCATTTTTTTGCCTCCCCGTCAGAGGGACTAGGAATGAATTTGTCGATGAAAAAAGAAGTTTATTAAAAGATTCGAATCATACATGAATCGACAGTTCTCAATGCTAATTCCGAATTTGTGAAAAAAAAATCAATATACTCCAATGATCGTTTTCAGAAATCTAGCGTGGTTTTCCAAAGATCGACTGAAAAACCGATCTTCGACTTTTTTTTCTCAGCCAAGATTTTGCTTATGAAAATATGCTCCTGGATCTTGGCTATCAAATGCTGAAAACCACAGGTCTCTAACTTGTTCCTATCGAAAGTTATTCAAAAAACATCTGAGTGTACTGACTTCTGGCGTCGATAGTAGTTCCATGAAAAAGTTCAGAAGTTTCTAAGAAACTCTCTTAGGGATATGAAACTTTCAACAAATGCATGTTGTATACACTATTTATGAAAAAGGTTCTATACCCTATACGCACAAAGTTTCAGATTAAAATTAAAAAAAACTCTGAATCGAAATCGCCAATATCGATTCCAAATAATGTTAAATTTTGACTAGCAACTGCCTTTTTTTTCTCTCAGATTCTTTATCAGAATAAAATATAAACCAATAGTATTGCTATGAGAGTCAAGAACACACACAGCACAATATATTGTTTATGGATTGTCTTTGGAAAATATACGAAATGTAGACTAGACACAATCAGATACAGACTGAATGTTATCGTCAATTATTTAGAAGAACACTATACTATTCAAATTTCTTTTTTTTCATCCAAATTGACAGTATTGTGAGAAATTATAAAGCACATTATCCAACGATTTTTGTTAGAAATTGAATAAAGTTGAGTAAAAGCGTTTACCAAAAATAACCTCATATCATGAAGAAGTATTGAAACAAAATGTTTTTTTTTTCTCAGAAAACATTTGTTTTCGTTCAACATAAATAAAACAATTGGATTATTATTTTTCGTTGCAATGATTGAAGCAAGAGATAGGCAAATCTTTTTATATCATTCAGATAAAATACAGTTCGTACTTCTTATTTTCAATTCACATTTTAAACTGTATTAATCTGGTGTGGTTTAGAAAAACATCATAACCTGTGTCACAAGATGTGCACCTGAAAAACCACAAAACATACGAAGACTAACAATAAGAGAATATTACTTTTTCATTTGAACAGTCAACAGAGAAAATCCTTGTATAAAATCAACAATGATTTATTCGATTATAACAAATAGCAATCGGAATGCATGCATTAGCCTTTGACAAGAGAGTTTATTTTGTTAATAGATACGATCATCAATCACAAAAATCAATTTGTTCTTTTCGTTCTTGAGAAGTGGATTTTCTGGTATTTTACTCGAATTATATTTTGATACTTTCACAATATAATAGAACAGTAAAGGCAAACAAAAAAAAATTCTATTTATGAAGATTGACAAATTCAGTCTGTTGGGATCAAAGTTTTCGAACCCGGCTTGTTGAACACTTTTGGACATTCGACTCAGCTGATTGAAATTTTTCGAACTTGAAATCCGTTTATTTTATTGTTTGGAACCTGGGCTCAGTCGAGTCGTAATTTGATACTATCCATAAAATTCTCTAGGCAGAAATAGATAGTCGCCCCAAAGATACGAGATACTTTTCCAACTTTTGTATTTCATTACTATCTTACTCTACATATTTTTAAAA